CTACTGTTGGGGATGCCTGCATCTCATTTTAGAGTCCCAGTTATTCTGCTTCCCATCAGGCTTCCTATTAATGATCTTGGAAGGCAGCAGGCAGATGCTCAAGAACTTGGGTCTCTGCCACCTTGTGGGAGACCCTGATGGAGTTCCTGGCTCTTGGCTTTGGCCTGGGCTAGCTCTAGCTGTTGTAGGCATTTGGGGAGTGAACCAGCAGGTGCAAGAACTCTTTCTCTTGTCATGCCTTTCAAATAAATAAAAAAACAAAGTTTTAGGAAAGACTGGGTGACCCTTTTCAGCATCACTCAGCATTCTGCCTAAGGTGAATTTTGGTGATTTTTTCTTCTTTTTAGTGGCCTTAATGGCTGACTAGCCTGCCTAGTAACCTAGCTTTGTTTTTATAGAAGATCTGACTGTTATCTCAAATATCACACTTTTCATTTCCCATCTATCTAAATTTACTTCTCTCCTGGTAGTCCTATTTGTTAAATCCTTCAGCGTATTCCCCACTGTTAAATCCCTAGTCCCAGGATCTGTTATCTAGCCTGCCAAGCTCTCCCCTTAGGTCTCACTCTTTCCACCTTGCCTCTTGCACTGTCATTCTTGCTACAGTAGATCCAGTGATCTTTAAAAAAATATAGAATAAAATATTACTCTTCTGCTTGAAACTCTTGTTTTTGTGCTTGGCATCAAAGCTGAATTAATTGCCACCACCTACCAGGCCTTCAGATGATGTGTCCTTTGCTTATTCCTTGTCCAATCTCTTGCTATGTTCTCTTTCTTCTTCCTTCTTCCCCAGCTGCACTGCCCAGATATATCAGAATTTCTTCCCCAGATATATCAGGCTTGTTTCTGCTTAGACGCCTTTGCACCAGCTGTTTCCTCTGCCTGGGATGCTCTTTCTCAGAACTTTGCAAGGTTGGCCCCTTCTTGTTATTCAGGTTCAGGATTTCACTTCCTCCACAGGTCTCCTTGATCTGCCAAAGTGAAATAGCTCCTCAGTGACTGCAGCACCCTGTCTATTGTCCTCATGGAAGTTAGCAGGTACAAACTGGCTTTATATATTTGCCTGCTTATTGCCTCTTCTGTAGAGTTTAAGCATCTTGAGATCTACAGATTCTGTCTGTATTGTCCTCCTTGCATTCCTATCATTGTGAACAGTACCTAATATATTTTAAAATAAAAAGCAAAACAAAAACCAAAGCAAAATAAAACAAAAAACGAAAAACCAGTGCTCAGAAAACTGGCTGGAGAAATATGCTTTTAATACCTGGGTTTTTAGAACTGGCCACTGAAGTGATAAGGGAGGAAGGTGCACAAAAAGCATTTTCCCAGACCTGGTGAAACTGATACATTCATCATATGCAATGCATAATACATAATAAGACTCGTGACCAATAGTGAATGTAACCTTTTACAAAAAGATTTATTTATTTTTATTGGAAGGACAAGTACAGAGAGAGAAGACAAAGATCTTCCATCCGCTGGTTCATTCCCCAAAGTGGCTGCAACAGCTGGAGCTGAGCTGATCTAAATCCAGGACCAAGAGCTTCTTTTGGGTCTCCCATGTGGGTGCTGGGTCCCAAAGCTTTGGGCCATCCTCTACTGCTTTTCCAGGCCACCAGCAAGGAGCTGGATGGGAAGTGGAGTAACCAGGATATAAACCTGCACCTGGAAGGGGTCCCGGTGTGTGCAAGGCAAGGACTTTAGCCATTAGGTTACTGCGCCAGGCCCTTTAACTCTTTTTTTTTTTTAAAGATTGATTTATTTTTATTGGAAAAGCAGATTTATAGATAGGAGAGACAGAAGGCTCTTCTGTCTACTGATTCACTCCCCAAGTGCATGCTGAGGCGATCTGAAGCCAAGAGCCAGGAAGGAGCTTGTTCCAGGTCTCCCATGCGGGTACAGGGTCCTAAGGCCTTGGGTCATCTTCTACTGCCGTTCCAGGCTATCAACAGGGAGTTGGATGAAAAGTGGAGCAACCAGGACACGAACCGGTCCCCCTATGGGATCCCGGTGCATGTAAGGCAAAGATTTAGCTATTGAGTTATCAGGTTAGGCCCAGTGAATGTAACCTTTTCAAAACAAAGTAATACCATATTGAAAAGGTGGGAGTTCAAACAAACTAGAATCAGGTCAGATCCTTGGGATTTTTTGGTACTACTGCTAAATCAGTCTTTTCTTTCTTTCTTTTTTTTTTTTTTAAAGGATATTTATTTGTATTGAAAAGGCAAATTTACAGAGAGAAGGAGAGAGGGGAAGATCTTACTTCTACTGGTTCTCTCCCCAAAGGCTACAACAACCAGAGCTGAGCTCATCCAAAGCCAGGAGCCAGGAGCTCCTTCTGGGTCTTCCATGTGGTGCTACATCCCAAGCCTTTGGGTTATCCTCTACTGCTTTCCCATGACACAAGCAGGGAGGGAGCTGGGTGGGAGGTGGAGCAACTGGGACGTGAACTGGCAACAACAAAGGCTGCTGATGCCTGGAGGTGGAGGATTAGCCAGCTGAGCCGCTGTTTCAGCCCCATTAACTTCAGTCTTTAAGCTCAAAATGCACTTGTTTACGAATGATAGTTTTCATTGTTTTAAAGCATCAGTTTGAATATTCTGATTGTTTTGCAAAGGGTCATTACTGTCATTAGATTATACTATATATTTTATAATGATAGCATTTGTGTATTTTCCATGAGCCTTTTAAAATAATTAGTATGCTGTGGATGAGGAAGACTCATATCACAGTTTGAATATCCCTAAATTGAAAAGCTAGAATCTGAAATTCTCACAATATGAATCTTTTTGAGTGCTTACATTTTGCCACAAGTAGAAAATTCCAACCTTATCTCACACAGCCAAAATGTACAAAATTACCAGATATTATATTTGATTTTTGTTATTATTACTAACATATAATATGCACTTATTTTCAGGTTTGAAGTATAGATATAGATTTTGTGTTTAAACAGGCTCCAGTCCAGGAGATCTTAAAGTGCATATCAGTATTCCAAATCTTGAAAATATTCAAAATCTGGAATAGCTGTGGTCCTGGCATTTCAAATAAGGGTTATTCTACCCTTATTGTAAGGACAATATTTAAATATCTCTTAGTATAGAGTGCACCTCCAGAAGTTTATTATGTTGAACGGAAGAAGAAAATATATTCTTAAAATCTATGAAAAATTAAAATAATTTAGTATTCAATTGGCAGTACAAATTTGTTGTTTAGTTCATATACTAGTATTTTTTATTGGCTTCTGATGATAAAGAGAAATAACGAACCTAGTGGTTTATGCTAAATACATCTGGGAAGTTGTGCATTTCTTGCAGTTCTGCTTCCATCTACCAAACTACTTTGGCAAGTGGTTCTGTAGAATTGCTTCAAAGCGGTTTCGGATTTAGGGAATAAAATAGCTTCCTTGCTATACTTTATAAATTACAAGCTTCACTTCAAAACTAGATAAAGACATGTAACTTCCTCAGCTGACTTCATGTTAGTATTTTATTCAGTTCTGAGGTCAATAGTGGCAATACACAGTTGAAATTACAACTAGTAAGATCATAAAATATATTGCAGATATGTGTGAAAAAGGACATTGTGTAACTTTGTGAGGTACTAGATTAAAAAGACATACAAGATGTTGAGGCCCGTGTGATTAACGGTCTCCCTTTCCTTTTCAATTTGCATCTTATCTGAAACTGAGCACAGAGCATTGTTCTTTCCTGCAAATGAAAGTTAGGGGTGCCAAATGTAGAGGAAGCACCGTACCTTTGTGGATAGAAAGAAAACCATCTGGTACCAAAGAAAGGCCAAAAGTGGGCTGTTTTTTGTACTAACAGAATGAAAGATAAGAATTTATGTTTAACATATGACCATAAAATTACTCTTCTATGATTCTTGGCATCTTATACTAGAAACCTGTTTTAGATGTTATATACCTAGTTATCAAAGTTGAGAAATACTCGAAGAAGTTGAAAATAGAATTGTAGTAATTAGAAGCTGGGGAAAGTAGACAGGAGGGACAAGATGGGGAGGAACTGGTCAATAGCTACTAAGAGTTAAATAGGAGAGATGGATTCTGATGTACTGTTGTACAATAGGGTGATTTCATCATGGTAATAAATCATGCCAATATATAATTCCAGAAAGCTGGAATATAGGATTTTGAATGTTTTCACCTTAAAGAAATGCTAAATATTTGAGGAGATAGATAATTGGGGTACTTTTAAAAGTTTGTGGAAAACTGAAGTTAAGTGACAAATGAATTTTAGTGTAAAATATGTTTGAAATTTGTACATGGCCTTTTCATAGTGTATATTTTCCATCACCTGCTTAAAGATTCTTATGCTTGACCTGATTGATGCATTGCACAGTGTATACATATATTGAAACATTACATAAATAGGTGTCATTTTAATATGTCAATTAAAATAATGTGAAAAAACAAAAGTCAAATGTATATAACATTTTAAATATTTATCAGAGAGAGACCTTGTATCCATTGACTCCTTCCATACCCACAACAGATGGTCCTTACGCTGTGAGCTAGAACTTATTCAGATTCCCACCTGAGTGTTTGGACCCCAACACTTTGAACCCCTATCACTGCCCTCAGATTCTGCTTTGGCAGGGAGTTTGGGTCAAGTCAGGAGCCAGAGCACCCCATTGGGGATGTAGGTATCCAGCTGGCAGCTTAACTGTCAGGTGACAGATCGCTCTAAAATACATGTTCTTGAGAGAAGTAATTGAAGGAGTGTTGATGTGTGTTTTCAGAAGGCATTTGAGCTTTACTCCGAGGAAAATTAAATATTTATTTGAGAGGGAATCTTACTGTCTTGGTCCCCATGACCACTAAGGGTTTACATTTTGCTTTGTAAGCCTGTTTTTATTTTATTAATCTATTATTATTACTATTTTTTTTTATCACTGATCCATAGAGACTAGTTTACATTGGGTTTTTAAATTTTATTTATTTACTTATTTTTTAGTAATCTTTTCTCTCTCTTTTAAAGCTGCACATCACTGACTCCTGGCCCCAACTGTGATCGATTTAAACTGCATATACCTTATGCTGGAGAGACATTAAAATGTAAGTAAATGAGGACTATATTTCTCAAAATACAAATTACCATGTTAGTTTTAGCTTTATACTTTGGTTTTTATTTCTGGCTGTTAGATGTTATCTCAAGATATTTATCTCGAGTGTTTACCATTTTTTCTTATTTATTCATCACTGTTAGTTCTATTAAAGCGAAGGCAGTTGGCATGGAGCAACGTCCAGTGAAATAGGCATGCATAGAGATGCTGAATTTTTTAGGCATGCATGATAATTCTTGTATTTACTTTGACCATAGGCAGTTCTTGTGCAAAACCCCAATGAAGGGCATCCATTGCATTGAAATACCTACTGGTTAGAAATTTTTTAGGTAGCCAGCATAACTGCTGCCCCCATTATTGCTCTCTCCCTTCTGGAACCATTACTGCTAAGAACCATTGCCACTGAGGTTCCTCAGAGACACCCGGCATGAGTTAAGGAGAGGGAATGTCAGTATGTTGTCTCCTGGAAAGGGTTAGACATGCACATGGCTTACGTGGGACAAAATGTAAGATAGAGGAGCAGGCTACCTAAGGCAAATGGGACATCCTATGTTATGAGAACTGCTTTTTAAATTAATTATTAACAGAGAGTAGATATCTGCCTTTTTATATAAATTCAGTTTTTATGCTGACTACATTTTCAAAATTAAATGCATGATGGAGGCTAGGTTATGTAGGCTGACCCAAATGACTCAGGATTGACTAGAGCACCTGGACCTTGGGTGAGTACCTCATGGCTATAGTAGGCTCCATCTCCCACTGGGTAGAGCCACCATTTTCAGCCTTTGCCTGCCACTGTTAGCAGCACTGAAGCTGTACCTGTGGAAATGACAGTAGGTTTGGCTGGTTAGTATAACTAAACTCACTAGGGATCTTTTCTCGTGTGAATCTGTACTGTGGGGAATAAGGTGTCAACGTTTCTGTGTCCTTAAAAGGGGAAACAAAGAACATGGGTATTAAAGAAGAGACTTTTTTGGATTATGACCATATGTGGCCAAGAGGGACCACATCTTGGCCTCCTACAGAATCACTTCATGTTAATTTTCTAAATGCAACATTAAATGACAAATTTAGGAATGCTGACTTATTAACCTTCCATTATTAGACTGTTCTCCTGAAACCGTTAGAATACAAAAGAGTTTTTTTTACCTGCCTGAAGTAGCAAAACATATTAAATAGCTACTTTTTTTTTTCAAAAAAATTAAATTGAAAAAAAATGATCAATGTTAATCATGTAAATGATTGAAAGAGAAATAGTACTGATTTTTTTTTTTAAATGAAAGGAAGAGTCTGTTTTATTTCTTTCCTGTCCCAGGCCTGATCTTTGAAGGAACCAGTTAAAATTTGAAAACTATTTAATTTAGTTCTTCTGAGGATGATCGCTGAATAATGTGCTTTTTTTGCCTCTGTTTCTTCATTTAGCAACTTTAGACATTATCTTTGGACTTCCTGCTCTAATACATGAACCTTCAACCAGTTTTCACTATACCTCTTATCTCCTGCTGCTCTTCCTCTTTAATGCAGTGATATCACCATTATTGGTTCCTATGTTGATTACCCTGTAGTTTAAAATGTGCTTATTTTTTAAAAGGAATCTTTAAATGAACTGCTCCTAAAAGTTGTGAATAAATGTCTGGCACACAGCTCTCTTATTACTTAAGGATAATCTCTCTGTAATAATGATGAATACTGAGTTCACTTTTATTTGGTTTCCCATTAGCAAAGATAATGTTATCTGGCTCTTTACTTTTGAATATGAAGATAATTAGATAATTAGCCCTTGCATTTTCCAGCTTTTGTCTTCTGTTATTTTATATATATTTTTTGCATTTCTAAGATTGATAGCTATTCTAAATAGATAATTGCTTTTTGTGCTCTGTCCTGAAACTGTTGAATGACTAGCCTATAGGCTTGCATGATTGTCAGCATGATCTTTATTATTTTTTTGGATTTGAATTTTTTTTTTTTACTAGAATCTACATGTGGAGGAGTTTGGCAGAATAATTTCTTTGTAAATAGGTTGCCTAGTTTTTTTCTTTTTCTTTTTTTTTTTTAAGGTTTATTTGTTTATTTTAAAGACGGAGTTACAGAGAGAGAGGGGGAGAAAGAGTTATCTTTCATTTGCTGTTTTATTCCCCAAATGGCTACAGCGCAACAGTCAGGACCATGCAGGTCTGAAGATTGGAGCCAGGAGATTCTTCCAGGCCCCCTGTGTATATGCAGGAGCACAAAGAAAAGGCCACCTTTTGCTGCTTTCCCAGGCACAATAATAGGGAGTTGGATGGGAAGCAGAGTGGCCAAGACTGGAAATGGTGCCTACATGCAATGCTGGGGTCACAGGTGATGGGTTTCCATGTGATACCACAGTGTCAGTCCCAAGAGTGCCTCCACAGTACCAGATAACCTGCTTAAGTTCCATTGTTTGGACAGGCATTTGGTGTAGTGTTTTGGTTTTTAAAGATGGAGTTACAGAGAGAGAGGAGGTGGGAAGGAGAGAAAAGACAAAAAGATCTCTGCATCGGTTCACTCTCCAAATGGCTGTGATGACCAGGGCTTGTCAAGGCTGAAGCCAGGAGCCTAGAGCTTCCTCTGGTTTTCCCAGATGGGTGCAGGGGCCTTAACATTTTGGCTATCTTCTTTTGCTTTGTGAGGTGTATTGTTAGGGAGCTGGGTCAAACCTGGAGCTTCAGGGGCTGAAAATGTACTCATGTGAATGTCAGCATCACAGGTGGCCCCTTGGATACAGTGCTACCCTAGCAGGGGCCTCTTTCAAGTCTCTTATGTGGATGACAGGGGTCCAGGAACTTGTGCCATCTCCCACTGCTTTCCTAGTTTGTTAGCAGGGAGCTAGATTGGAAGAGGAGCATCCTTCAGGACTAGAACAGGCAGGGACATCAGTCATTACATTGCAATGCTGACCCCCTTTTCTTTTTTAAACTCATTTATTTATCTTATTTAAAAAAATACTTAGATAAAAACATGTGTTGCCACTCTATCAGTTTTTGAAACATTAATTTTTTTTTTTTGGTATAAGACCATTAAGATCTAAATGATTAGTGATCACAAGATTTGTGATTGAATTAAGAGGTTGATTATCACAAAAGTTGTAATTGAATTCAGTCTTCTACAACCAATATAATATGCATCTTTAAATATAAACGGACACATTGCTCAAAACCAAATAGTTTAACAATTTTCTGGGGCTAGTGCTGTGGTATAATGGTTAAAACCGTTCTCTGCAGTGCTGGCATCCTATATGGGCACCAATTCACTTGCCACATGGGTGTAGCTGCTCTGCCTCCCTGCAGATGTGTCTGGGAAAGAAAGTCCTTGGGCCCCTGCATCCATGTGGAAGACCTGGAAGAGGCACCTGGCTCACTACAGCCTAACTTTGGCTGTTGCAGCCCTTTGGGGAGTGAACCAGCAGATAGATGATCTGAAATTTTCTGCTCCTCTCTCTTAACTTTCAAATTTAAAACAAACATACATAATTGCAGATTTATGTAGTTTTATAATTTTTAGTAAGTTGTAACCTTTATAGCAAACAGAAGATCTCTTTGCCTTTTGAAAGAAGTAGACCTAGAATGAAATCATAGGGGAAAAATGAATAAATAGATATTAATTATATTCTGTGGTCAATAATAATGCTTTCATATTTTTCCTCCCAAGCAGAAAATAGTGGTGAATTCAGTGCTTTGTTGTCTTAAAACTATGTAAACAACTTTTCAATTTAAAATTTCTCATAGAATCTATTGAAAACTTGTAGTGTATCAAATTGTTTAAAATATATAGTAATTTTATCTCATAGTTTTAAGTTCAATGAAGTTAGAGACAAGGGCTGTTTTGTGTGTTAACTTGATCTTCAGTCTGCAGCACAGGAGAGATATTCCATTAGATATTTGTTAGAGGAATGAAATTGATGTATATATGCATGAGTTAATGACTCAGTGTTCAGATTTTTGGTGGTTGAGGTGTAGTGTTACACAGAATGTGGCATTCTGTTACTTGCATCAGCCTTTTGCCAACATAACTCACTCTTTAGAAGTTATTTATTATACGAGGAATTTGTAATTGGAACATTGCTCTTAACAATTCAGAAAACAGGAAGGACGCACAGTATGTTCCAGATTTGGAGTCTGAATCAATTTTATCTTTGTATATTTTACTTTGCCCCCTGAAAGAAGATGAATGAAAATAGCTTGCAGCTGAAATTTATATTTCAAAATGTTTTATGTATTAGAAAATAGTTACTTCTATAAATCTGTTTCATCTGTGAAGAAAGGAAGCTTTGTGCAGTTAATGACAATAAGAGTGAAACACAAGAGAGAAGACATATTTCAGCCCATGAATTCTAGAATTGATTTATACAGAACTACTCAAATTCAAAGTAAAATAATTGAAATAGAAACAACCAGAAGCTCATTGTACTTGAGGAATGATGCTACTATTTCCTCATCTCTTTTATTTAAAGGGAAGGGGTAACCGTTGGCTATGAAAACTATCAGAGGATATCATAAAATAAAGAGAAGTTCTTGGATTTCTCAACTGTAATAAGAAACACCCCATAAATACTCGGAGCAGGCTGAAAATGTAATCAATTTGGATTTGCATAAAAAAACATGGTAGCACCTGATATGCACCACTGAAGTGGTGATATGTTATAAGATATGGCAGAGTTGACTGAGGAATAGCCATGAGCATCATATAAATGCAGATTTATAACAACCACCACCTTTGTCATGCTTTATAGAATTTAATTCTAAAAAAAGCTGTTGTGTTTGTTTTTTTGTGTGTCCTCTTTAAATAAGGTAAGAATTGAGACTGTTTTCCTATTTTATTTTCAGTCTCTCATTTAGTGCTTGGCATTTAGAGATGCTTAATAAGTGTTTGTGGGTTGAATTAACCATGTTCATTCTTTGGATCTGGCACTGATGAGGTTTGATGAGGAAGTGACACAACTTATTTCTGCCAGTTCTTTGAATAATACTGTTT